TGATTCGAGTTTAGAATTCGAGTTTTTCTACAGTAAAAAGCTCTCACAAACAATCACATCTAACTTTTTTGCTACAGTAAAAAGCTCTCACATAAAGTCACATCTCAACTCGAATTTTAAACTCGAATCAGCGAAGTGAACGGGCCCTTTATATTTTGGTGAGTGCTTCTGAGTTCACTTAATATTTATTATTATTATATTATAGTATTTATATATATAGTTTGTTTTACGTGTCTTTAGTTTCCAAAAAAAAAAAAAATTTTTTTTTGCTGCAAACTTTCCACGTATTCAATCACTAGTTGCTGCATATATATATAATCGAAAAAAAAGTTACCTTTTTAGTTTTACTTACCTTTTATTTATTTATTTTTTTAGTCGTGTTGTTAAAAAAAAAAATGCCCCTTTATCATTTTTTTTTGTTTCCGTAGTTTTGTTGCTTAAAAAAAAAAAACTCACACTTTTAGTATTTGTTTTTATTGCTAATTTTAGTTTCCTTTTTTAGATTTAGAATTAATTGTGATTTGATTTTGTAATCTTTTATTTTTGATAAATTAGGATTATATTTTGTTTCCTCATTTGTATATTTTAATTGTTGCCTAATTTAATTTTTCCTTTTATAGTTTTCATTAATTCTTAGGATTATAATTTAGATTGTAATTAATTGACTAATTTAGATTCCTAATCTAGGATTTTCATAATTTGGTAGATTTAGGCTTTTGACTTTAGGAATAGTTTCCATTAATTAGATTACATTTCATAATTTACTCAATAAAATTTAATAATTAATTTTGAGAATAATTGTGTGGTTACGTGTAAAGTACAATATGAGGGAGTTTTGTCTATGAAAGTTGGTACTTAAGTGGGCCTCGCCCCACCAATCTTTCCTGGGAACGTTGCTCTGTCTAGGAGACTATTCATTGAGCCAAGAGCTATAGTCTTTCCTGGGAGCACTCTCGGTGGTTACAATTTACGTTACTATATAATTATTTTCTTTTCCTTTGATTAAAAATAAAAAAACAAAAACAAAAAGACAAAAAAAAATTTAAAAATTAAAAATAAAAATAAAAAAAGAGCCGCTTAGGGTGAATGCATCGGTATAGAAACGAGCTAGGGAGATTCGCTCAACGTCCAGATTTAGAAACCCCTAGTGAAATTCTATCCGACTCGTCTTCTACGTCTCCGTCTTCGCACTCGTCGTTGGAATTC